AATCCCAATAAATGGATTCAGAAAAAAAAATATGGTTTAATTCACGTAACATACATATTTTTTTTAACTTACATTCGATAGATTATAGTACGTTTAATGAGAAATTTATCAAGAAACCACCCGTGATCGCGGTAGAGAGGTGTTAAAACCACCGGAAGCCCGTTTCTTTCTCATTTCGAATTGAAACAAGTATACCCAATGAAATTTTCAAATTGGTGTATATATGACGGTAATTTGCAACAAATTTCATATTTATTCTCATGTTTCGAATGTTTTTAATTAAAATATTCGAATTCGAATGAAATTCATAATACTTACTTAATTTTCATTCGAAATTCAAAAACGTATAATGAATATTTTTTTATTGTCAGAATCTATTCCGTTTATAACATCAAATATAATTTGACTGTATAATAGACCGATATATACTTATAGAATAAGTATTTGTTATGTATACGTATTCGTTATATTTTTGTGTATTGTACTTATTTTTCATTTTCGTACCGTGTTCCTTTCTTTCGGATGTCTTTTTTTTTTTTCTGTTTTGTGTACCCCATGGATTCAAAAATCCAATTTTTTCCCTTTTTTTTCTTTCTTTTTCTTATTATTTTTCTTCAAAAACATTTTAACATGATAATAACCATATCTATATATCTATATGAGCTCTAATATAGACTATGAGAGATGACAGAACTATAGTACATTTTACTTCTTCGGGTATATTTTTTTCTTTAAGTCTTCAAGCAAGCAAGCAATATAACTAAGAACTATAAATATTTCCAAAGGAACGGTAGATGAGAATTGAATAATTTTCGTCTTAACAAGAGAAGAAAACGAAAAAATAAAAAAGTGGTAGTTACTCTGGCTGTTGTATGACGAAGACTTATCGTCAGGGATAAAGAATCTTCTGTTTTGTTGTTGTAATTTATTATTACAAAAGAAGAATGTTTTGTTTTTCTTGTTTTTTTTTTTTTTTACTGTAAAGGAGGTATTTAATTTTATTAAAAAAGAAAAAAAAAGCAGAGGATATCCAGGAGTAAAAACGGAATTTTTGTTCTGTTTTCCTTCGTTTCTTTATGATTTTTTTTTTTAATTTTGTGTTAAAAATGCCTTTTTTATACTCAGCATTTTCGTTTCTTGAAAGCAACAGTGGAATTTTTTATTGTTTTGGTTTTTATTTCTTTAAAAAAAGAAAAATTAAAAAAATAAGCAAATATGACATTTTAGAAATTGTATGTCGTTAGTGGAATATGCGTATTATAATGTATAAATGTATATATATATGTATATCTCCAGGCAGGTATGTAAAATACACGATAAACGATTTCATACTTATTACGAAAATTATAGTTTGTACATAATAATGTACTTATACATATATATAAAATATGTACAAATTGTAATATTATTAATGTTTCGCCATCTTTTGACAAAAACTTTCAACAGTATAATATTTAATTCGAATATGACGTTCGAAATTTCTCATATGATGTGATTTCTTCTCTCTTAATCCTACATGTGAGTTGATTACATTTTAAACTTCTACGCTTGATGAATATTCAAATTTTAAGAATTCAAAACCATAGTAACGAAACTCGAATGAAATTTCAGTTTAGAGTTCGTTCCGGTTCATATCTTTTTCTTAAATTCAGGCTGAATTTTTGATTGCAATTGTATCCGTTAAGCTAATACACATGTATTCATATTTAAATTTTTTTTTTTTTTTTAATATGCATTTACCTCAATAATTTTCATTAAAGTTTTTAAGTTTTCTCTCAAAAGAAAAAAAGTTACAATACATGGAGCAGCTTCCTTTGGAGGAAGAATCAGAAAATATTCTACTTTCAATAGATTTTTTTTCCAAAGTATGATAATCTAAATCATTCAGAAACATTGTAAATCAATCAGAAACTGAATCCGAATTTCATATTTTAACCTCTAAATTTCATTCTATCTAGCCTATATTACCACATACAAGTTCCAGAGGGCTAAATCCTGTAAATCACTTGTGAAAATGTAGCGTTTTCCAAGAAAAAGGGTTGTTTTTTATCTTAACTGTAAAAGCAAATATTAAAGAAATTTCAGTTAATCCTCAATTGCATGTGCTCCCTTTTGTTTACAGAATGAAAATATACTTTGACTCTTAATATTCTGTTGTGCTTCTCTCTACTGTGAGTTTAACTCAGATCACGCGAGCGTATACTGAGATGTCACTTTCCTTTTTGCACAATTCTTTGCTACAATTTTCTTTCGACTTCGATTCCGCAGCTGTACGATAAGATTTCTTCATAACGCTGTTGTTCTAAAAGTTTCTTTTCCTATTGATACTTTAGAAAGTTTCTTCATTATTCCGACCACAATAATTTTCTAATCATAGAGTCATTCTGCAAATGCGATGTTTTTTTATCGATATGAAGACCATTTGCGCAATTTTTTTTACGTAATAAAATTTTGAAATATGTATCACTTAACATGTAGTAAAATAACTATATTTAATTACATTTAACATCATTTATATATAGAAAAAAAAAATACATTTTGTTTTTGTTTTTGACAAAACAATTTGGCGGTCTGATCAAAACAAACTATCGTAATATTATGATGTATATGTGAATGACTGGCATAAATAATCACAAATTAAAAAAAAAGTTGAAGAGATTACGTGAAATTTGTACAATTATTGGCTATATTGTGCCATACATAGATTGTATATGTAGTAAGCTTTCATTTCATTCACATATCGAAAATGACCCGCTCTTTTATGTTAATCAAAAACTTATGCAAGTAAATGTACATATAGATTTTTTTTTTTTGCCTTCTCTTCATTATATTGCAAAAATTCAAAGGAAAGCGAATTCCAAATAATTATATTCTAATAATATTAACAAATACCTATACATTTATATTATGTATATATACTTATCTATGTTTAGTTGAAATTAGTTAAGAACTTTGATAAAGTCTAGACAACAACATGCTATATATGAAACTATATAAAATAGGTATATATATTCAGTTGCAATTTCTAAAAAGAAACGCAATTTTATTGCAAATCACAAAAGAATATTTAAGTAGTACTTAAATAAATTGCCGGTGTTCTTGTAACACTTCGATAGTAAACGTCCGATTATATGCACGTACGTATTACAATTCTATTGTATAGAAATGGTGTTAATTTATAAAATTCGCAAATATTTATAGCTACTGTACCTTAGTATTCATACAATTAATGTTACTGTTTGCAAATCTTATAGGGTAGATTCTTAAAATAGAATGAAATTTCGCTATAATCAGAAAATTATAAAAAAAAAATATGTTACTGTTTTGGATGAAAATAGAATTTTAATTTGTCGAGGTCAAATATCGTTATTGCTACTTCGGTCGGACGCGCATGTGATTCTAGTTATTCCAATATTTAACCAGACTGTGGAGTGTTCTGCTGCCGAAGAAGCACATCCCCACAATTCTTTTTCAACTGTCTAAATATACGTAGTTCAATTTCTGTGGATACATGAAGCATAGTGCATTTATCTACTAAAATAGAACAAAAGATCAGAAATCCATTAGAGTCTGGTTCAAATTTAATCACTTTCTTAACTATTTCAATTTTAATAAAATGATTTTTGTATAACATTTTGTTGTAATTTTAAGATATTTAAAGTTAGTTTGAAAAATTTCAATACTTAATACTTAAACTAGTGGTCAACTTCGTATATTTCATTTTCAAATACTTATACCCATTTCAAAAAAGTAGAAATTTAAAATTATAACATTATAACTTTAATAAAAATATACGTGAACAAAATTTTTTAATCATAATGTTTACCCAACTATCACAAATTATTTCATTCTAATGCGGTATTTGATGTTTTTGTTTTGCGGACTCCCTTTTACCGTAAAGTCCTTTAATATATATATAGATAATTTCCAAAAAAAAAAAAGAACGGCATGATAACATAAATAAAAATATTTAGGTATATAGACATGGGTATGTTGACACTAAATAAATACTGGTTTCATTCTCTTTTCCCCCACTCCTTCGAAATTCTATTTTTAAATTAAATAAAAAATATAATATGCTCTTTAAAAGAGTACATACAAAAATTCAATGCTTACAACAAATTTGTTGTTTACTCATCTAAATTTTATATACAGAGTGATTTTCTTTTCAGTTTGTGCTTTCATGTTTTTTCTTATTTTTCGTAATAGCTGTCAATAACAAGTAGACTGCCGCCCGAGCGACATGCCCAATTTATTGCACTATGTTTTGTAAATAGTTTAATTAATTAATTAGACTATTGATGGTACAGATGAAACTATTGACGATACAGATTAAACGAAATGTGCTTTCGATATCTAACACCAGATATCTCTAAAAGTCTTCGAATGAATCTTCTTATATGGTTGTCGTAAACTTCACATTTCCGTTCATTCATCGTTTGAAATAAAAATTACTTGCAAATTTACAGTTTTCTTTTCTTTTTTTTAATTAATTCTTTATTCATTATAGTGTTCATCTTCATTTATTAGTCATATGCGTCAAGTATATTCTGTTTAAAAATAATTTGTCAACAAATTAGTCATTGTGCGTATTTGCAAATATAAATGTATTTTGTGTGTTCATCACTCAATTTAATTTTATTTGTTCATCAGTTTATTACATATTAGAAAAAGAATTTGAAAAACTTCTCAATTTGGTAATACTTGTTCAAAACAACATATATGTACATGTATTTGTAAATTTTAAAACTTGTGATGCGAGTAATTGTCAAGATTTAAAGGCAAACGTCTGTTAGTTACTAACACGCCAAAAAATGTTTGTGCTTACTTAATTCCGCCGTAATCTTTGAGATCAGGAAATAGATATTTCCATTTTAGAAAAATCAAAACGAAATACTAATAAAATTTCAATAAATATAGAAATAGAAAATAAATTTAAAATTACTCCTATTTTACATTTAGATAATTTTTAATATTTTTTATTTTTTTCTTACTTACAG